ATGCAAATCTTTGCGCGAAGCAGAGAGTTTGTAGAAGAGCAAGGTTGGCAAGAATTTTTTACTGGGAACGAAGGCATTCGTCTAAAATGTAAACTACTGATGAAGTCATTGCAACCGCGCTGCCTGCGTGACGAAGTGACAACCACAGTTAAGTACCAAGCCAGGACAGCCAAAGATAGTGAGAGAGAGTTGCTCAAGCTCATACTTGCCAAAGCCCTTGAGCAGGACCGCGATTTTCAGCGACGCAAGCGATCGCGGACAAGTGACCACAGCGATCACAAGAGGAAGGACTCTACAAACGACAATGACCCGTCTCGACCTCGATTAAAACACCGGAAAGTGGAAAGAACCGACGGAAAACGGCCAGCAAAAGCTGTCATTCGTAAGCAGAGTACGGAGAAGCAAAAAATTTCCAAGCCTCCGACAGGTGGTTGCCTTAAGTGCAAAGGTGGCCACTGGCTTACGCGGTGTCCGACTGCTACCGATGATGAGAAGAAGGACATTTTACGCGAAATGCACGAGCGTCGCGACAACAATAAGGGCATGAAACCTAATGCTGACGCGTGAAGGTTGAAGCGCTTCAAGGACTGTCTCTTGGAACAAGAGAAAACTATCATATTGGAAGAGAGATTGTCCATGCCCTATTGCGCGGATACTGGGGCAGAGAAAAGCATTATCAGTGCTCGCAACCTGATGAAGCTTAAGAAGTTGGGTGGACTTGTGGAAACCACCATGTTGGATGAACCTATTGTATGCGAGACAGTGGGTAAGCACACGATTCAGGCAAAGAAGTCTGTGCTGTTACAGATCATGATGCACACTGCGGCTGGGCCTGTGAGGCCAGTTAAACCGTACGAAGTGCTAGTGATCGAAGAGGACGAAGACGAATTTATCGTGGGTGAAGATATTCTCGGTGATTTGGGCATCAGCATTGATAGACAACTAGAGCAGTTGGCAAAGCAGACCTTGACGGACGATGGAGACCCAAAAGAGTACAATGAGGGTTTCTGCAGTGGAACTTCACCTGAAAATGAGGTTCGGCAAGCAGTTGAGGAGATGATTGCCAACGCTTTGGAAAACGGATTTCCTGCAGAGAAGGAAGACCGGCTACGTACTATTGCGTACATGTATGACATCTGGAGGCTACATCTTGGGCCTGATCCACCGGCTAAGGTTGAGCCTTTAGAGATCCGTCTAAGAAAGAATGCGAAACCTTTTCGATGCAAGCCAAGAGCATACCCGCCACACATCAGGAAGTTTCTGAGGGAATTCAACGATGAACTAGTCCGTCTCGGGTGGGTGTTCGAGAACGCTGCTAGTCGGTGGGCGTGCCCAGCTTTACCCATTAAGAAGCCAGGCAAGGATGAATTTCGGCAGACAAGCGATTATCGGCCGGTTAACGCTGAGACGGAACCCATTGCAGGTGTCATGCCGATCTTGCACGTGATCACAGAACACGTCAAAGGCATGAGTTTCTTTGGACTTTTCGACTTCATCAAAGGGTTCTGGCAGCTACCGCTGGCCAAGGCCAGCCAGGAAATTCTCAGCTACGTGACTGACGCCAAGGTGTATACAGCAACGCGTGTACCACAGGGGTGCAGCGATGCGGCGTTACACTTCCAAGCGACGATGGAACGTTGTTTCGCTAAATTGCTCCACAAACATCTCTTGATATGGATTGATGATCTGCTCTTGTATGCAGAAGACGTGGATACATACTTGGAGAAGTTGAATGAGCTGTTTTCGCTGATGGACGAGTTTGGACTCAAACTGAGCGCCTCGAAATCGTCTCTTTTCGAACGATCTGTGAAGTGATGTGGTAAACTTATTGACGGAGATGGCGTACACCATGATCCGGAACGAGTTGCTGCACTACTCAAAATGCCGCTGCCCTCCCATGCAGGAGAATTGCAGCAGTTTCTTTGCGCATGTAATTGGATACGAGACAGCTTGGTGGGTTATGTTGGTCATGTACAAATACTACAGAAACGGCTCGATCCGACACTGGGAGGTGGAAAACGGACTAAACGTGCTGCAGCAAAGCTAGCGGTGGCCTTCACAGACGAGGAACGAGCCGCATTTGATAACGTCAAGGACTGTTTAGCTACTGCAGCGACATTGGCACATCCGAATTCAGAAGGCGTGTTATCAGTGTTCACAGACGCCTCGGATGTAGCATGGAGTGCCATTGTGACGGACGTTGAGACGTGGGAAACGGGCAAACCGATTGCAGATCAAAATCACCGACTGATACATTGTCTAAGTGGCATGTTCACAGGGTCACAAGAAAATTGGAGTGTGATCGAGAAGGAGGACTTCGCGATAGTTGCAGCGTGCGACAAATTACCCCACCTCCTCTTACGACCTGCGGGCTTTCAATTACACTGTGATCACCGCAAATGTTGGCCCATTTAAGACGCATCTTCCACGTGCATCAGTTACGCCAATGCGTAGACCGTTTTCTGACTCTGTCATCACGTAAAAGGGGGGAAGATAGTGCCAAGGCCCTGGAGCGAGACCTACCGGACCAACGAGCGAACCAAGCGCTTCACTGGGATTTCCTATACCTTGGTGAATCATTTGGTGACTTGAAGTATGTATTGGTGCTGAAAGATGATGCAAGTCACTACTGCAAATTGGTTAAGTGTGATCTACCTATCAGTACCGTTGCGGCTGATGCTATTATGGAGTGGCACAGTCGTTTCGGCATTCCCAAAGATTGGATCAGTGACCAAGGATCTCACTTCAAGAATGAAGTGATTGAGGACCTTTGTGCTAGACTCAAGTGCAAACAAATCTTCTCGCCAACATACAGCCCATGGATCAATGGGTCTGTCGAACGTGTCAACCGATATATACTGCAAGTATTAAGGGTCCTGATACTAGACTACAAGATCAACCATCGTGACTGGCCCAGGCTGATCCCAGTCGTGCAGACCAGCCTCAACCATACTGCAGTGCCGCCACTAGCCAACAAAACACCGGGCGAGTTATTCACCGGTCTGGAGCCCCCCTCACCTTTGCAAGCGGTGTTCCTCGGGCCTGAAGTCGCTCCAAGTGTACAGCCAACTCGTACTTCGGCCGGCATTGAAGAAAGCTTGGCCCGATTTCGAGCTAGTGTGAAAGACATGCACAGAGCTGTTACAGATGCCCGTCTCAAGCAGACATTGCTCAACAACAAATTGGAACGTGGCGACAACATCGTCAACTTCAACGTGGGCGATTATGTACTGCGATCACGTGTCGATGAGAAGAGACAGACAAAGCTGCTCGTCACTTGGATCGGACCCTACTCGGTCATCACAGCGGAACCACACAACGTGTTCAAGGTCAAGCATCTTGTGACCGGCGAAGAACTTGATGTACATGCCTCGCGGCTAAAGTTCTTCGCCGACAAGGACCTAGAAGTGCCTGAGGAACTCCTGGAGCACGTAGCTGTTCAGGGCATCATGCTTTGCGTGCGCGAGCTGATGCAGCATCGTTGGAATGACCAAAGTCGTTCCTACGAAATCCTTGTCGGGTGGCAAGGTCTGGAAGCAATCGAGGACTCGTGGGAGCCTCTTACACCCCTAAACAGAGACGTGAGTGCGTTAGTGAAAGGATATGTTGCTTCGGACGAAGACGCTAAGCTTGAGGAACATTTAAAAGCCCTGGAAGCGTAGGCGATACGGTATTGACCGTGTATATGTGTATACCCTTGGTATAATTACTGTATAGTCACTAAGTTGAGGTTCTACCTTGATATTGTGATTGTTTTGGTCAGTATCTTGAGTGATACTCATGGTCAAGTCAACTTCAACGGCAACGTGTTGAAGTTGTACCGGTTATTTCATACATGTGTGCTACTGACGTAATCATGAGATGAAATGTCACCGAGTGGTGATATATGAAATACAATTTTGTACAAGTGTCAATTTTACCGTGTGGTCGGATTGGTCTCGGAAAGCGACTGCAGTGGGTCGTGGTTTGAAAGCCCAACCGAGCCCACGCAATGCAGTCGAGTGCGACAGTAAGGTTTACCAGCATCATGTGGTTGCAGTCAGCCATGTAGATGTGGCTCAGCGAGAAGTGGTGTTGAAGCTGAGCGTCTTTTGTTAAGTCAAAGTCGCTTATCAGAACTGCCTGCTGTTATCTACAACAACTGTTCGTCTACTCAAGCTGGTACATGTTGAAGTATGAGTTGAACACCATCAATAGGACGCTAGTGATGGTAGTGTGGGGAGCAAGTCCAAGTACATGTTTTAGTTTTCTCAGTTTCATTTTTGACAGCTAGTCGACAAGCTCAATACACTCGGCGACAAGACTTTACGGGAAGTGCCAGCTTCCTTCGAGTGTCTTTGAACTTTCTTCTGAGCGTGACCTACTACAATTCCCTTGGAGGATGGAGTGACTACCGCGGTTACCAGAAAAAGACCTACTGAGCCAACACTCAGCTTAGAACAAGTCTAATTCCAGATCAAGATTCCCCATCTTTCAAAATATGACTTGGTTGGAAATATCGGCTAGAAATGGAGAAAAGAGCTCGATGATTACTGTGCTTTTCCGGGAGCGAAAATTTTTCAAGCTCTTCTGGATGTTTCGCATCGCTGGGAAGGCTAACATTGTGCTATAAACATTTTTTTTTCAATGGAAGTTGCAGGCCACATACTTGATCATATAGTGCTTTTACCCAGCACTACTAGCCCAAATCCCATCTAGTTGTTCCCAAGTAATTAAGAAATATATAACCCTCTCCATTGACTTCGACACAGCAACATTCCTTGCCAAAATAAGGAATTACAGACGATCCCCTCTGCAGTCATAGCGCTTTGGGCCCTACTTATTCCTGTCTAAGGGTTAAGGGTATTCCTATCCATGATTGTACCGATTCGAGTACCTTTAGTTGAACAGTGCACAAAATTGTCTAATGGAGACGATTGATGTGGCTCGTTACTTGCGTTTCACCCTGTTTTGCTCTACCACTGCCAGTTTTGCCTCACCACACCAAGTTACCCTCCTTTCTACCCAGCCAGTCGGTCCGCCCCACACTCACCAACAATCATCGACTCCTGTACAAATGCGCTAAGGGAAAATGTCAGTTCAGTAGCCTCGGTCTAGTGCCCTCACTAAACCGTCAATGGCTTTGCATCCATGTATCCGATTGACACGTGCAAGGTAGCGTTGAAAAGCCTGATTTTAGGGGTTGTCTAAAGAGTTAATTGTTTCAACTAAAAACGTTCTATAAGTGCTTTCATTGTAATCCGCGAATTGGTGATCCAGTATACTAGCACCCTTGACTTGACTAAAGTATGCTCTTGAGGGCGGTATAGAGGAACGCTTTGTCGCTGACCAATAAAAAGTGTTTACCACGATTTTGACTCGTTATAATTGGCTAATAAGGAGGGCTACTTAACTGACATTTTCCCTAGAACCATGCTCAAATCCTAATTTGTCCCGAATATAGCAGAATCTACGATCTTCCTCTGGTTCCATCACAAGCAATGACCTGGTAGCTGTTAATGCGCACAAAAGCGCTGGAGTCACCTCCGGTCTCGCAATTGGCCACAGAATTGCGGCACGCAGGTACGCCATCCTAAACTCGGCAAGTTCCTTGCCAGTTGGGTCTCCTTGTGTAAAGAGAAGGGTGCCACCGTCACAAATGAGGTAATTTGAGTGGAGGCAGAACGCTTCTCCGTGATGCTTAAGCCCGAGTCACGTCCGAAGTGGTCAAAATGAGAGGCTTCTTCAGTTCAATATTCGGATCGGACTTGGCAGCAATAATGCTCTTGTGCAGTTATGACTGTTTTCATAGTTAAGCACCCCAGAATAGGAATATTTGACT